TTTTCTAGACGTTCGAATTCACGTTCAGCTTCTTTTGCTTTACGCTCGGCCTCAAATCGCCGTTTATCTTCTTCACGTCTAATATTTCTCTCTTCTCTATCAAGATATTCTGATTCTTTCTTTTGAACATAATCACGTTAATCCCCATCCTTCAACCCAAGCCTCTCTCCCAATGATACCCATTTCTCATAATCCATAATTGCTTAATAATGGATTACAATTCAATAAAATAATCAACTTCTACGAAACCCGTAAAGTAAACACTTATTACTCAACAAAATGGTGTACCTCTGTAGCACCGACAAGTATTAACCTAAATCTAATCTCTATATAACAATGCCACCTACCGGGCACCGGCAATGAACTTGTAATAACAATAACAACCAGGGCACCGATATTAATCTTCTTGTAGTGTTTAACAATTATGTAAACTTTATGACAACAACCAACTGAGCACCAGCAGGTAAAACTATCTATTCAACTATTACATACAGTGTTATGAATAATCACCCACTGGACACCGGTTATAAACTTTTCATATCAATTACCGATGTCTCACTTCAATAAATTATAAGCTATTTCTTTATCATTGATATAAACTTATTCACACAATGATTCAAACAATCACAACAAATGTTTCCCCAAAACCACTTAAATCTATCACCACCGTATAAACTGTATTCAACAAAGGGTGCTCTCCTGCTAAAATGCAATAAATTCTTCAGTTTACATAAACTTTAAACACAGTCCGTCACCGCTTCTCTACATATAAACCTCTATTTAAACTTTATTGTACAGAGAGTTTACTTGTATATAAAACTACCTGCAGGTTTATCGATTTTCGCCTAATAGCGTTTACACTGCTTTATTTTACCAACAGATTGACAGGTTTAACAAAAAAATTATCAAAGTTTAACAAACAATAATTTGCCAGGAAATATCCAAACTTAAAGAGAATATCCCGGACGAGCCCCCAAATAGTCAGGAGAAATGACTGCCTTGATGTTATTTAATCTAAGAAAAGATTTAGTAATAAATACTAGAACCAATTTCCAAGATGTGGAGGCTGGGCAGCACCGCCTGACATAAAATTGAAATATTCTCAGTTGGAAAACTAGCATGTAATTGTTTAGTTAACACTATTTTTTTAGGTATTTTTATCTTTTCTATCTCAAATCAATATATACATTTAAACAACAAACTCTGATCATTATTTACACCCAAAACAAAGAACTTTGATCATTATTTACACCCAACACAAACGTCATTTATCAGCCACTTATACGAAATATCTTTTCACGTACACGTCTCTTATACGAAACAATACTAGACACCTGGCGAGCCCAAGCTCTAAATAACTTATGATCAAACAAAACAATAAAATCACCACAAAATGAAGAACACAGAAATTAATATTTTTACAACTCTAAGATACAGTATAACCACAAACATTCATCCAACAATATTAACTTCACACAATCTAATCAGCATCAGAAAACAACTTAAACTAAAGCACCCAATATTTACATATATCCTCAAAACAAAGCAGCAACTAATATAATCTTGACAATACCAAACATTCAACCAATGTCAACCAATTATATCTTCACAAACAGATATAACTCAACAACCAAAACAACTAATTACAACCAATAAACCCTGATCAATTAAGATCACCACAATTATATTCAACCAACTTCAACAAACCAACAAAACTCCCTTCAAAACAACAAAATTCTCTTCTCAATACAAAAAATAACCCGCTACACACTATCAGCGTGTCTCTCCTAACTGAAGTAAAATCTCTCTCAAAACGCGCATATTTGCTAGCTTAAACGATCTGACCTTTAAACATGTATACATACAGCGACTGGTTTAAACATGATATTTACACTCTATTTAAAACAAGTAAAATGGTTTCCTGCGGGTAACATTTTTAATGATATAAAGATATTTCATTTAACTATTTTCAACATTGTTTTTGGGAGAGGGGAATGAAAAAACGTTTGTATCAGGAATATAGTTGACAATAATCGATCAATATAGAAGAAGGTCTTTGGAAACTGGTAACCGTTGATGACCGGAGAAGGTCGAACATAATACAATTATTTATGTTTAAGAAAATGATTAAATAGGCCTACCATTTTATGAATAATTCCAAGCAAGAAAATAAATAAATAAAGTAAACACACAAGTTTACGCAGAAAATATATCTATTTATTATGGCAGATGCCACTACGAATATTTTAATTTTGTAGATTTTCAGTATAAACAATTTACTGTATTACATATATTAATAAAGAAACAATGATAATTTTCAAGTACATCATTCAAGTTTTTCCACCTTAAACGGTAAAATAAGTATAGGAAATTAGAAATATCACGTAATTAATTAGGTGTAATTCTGACTGATTCCCTAGAGGTAATTCCGTAACGTACCGACAAACGGTATTTAGCCAGGTTTTCGAAAAGGTCAATTAACCAATCGTGTACGGTTTACAGATCACATGCTCCTCCATGTACCGAAAACAGGTCACGTGCTCCTCCATGCCTCAAAAGTTAAACGCGTACCAATACCCTGCGGTCTCCAGACCGCAGGGAACAATGTATCACTGTAAAGAAATATTAACTCGTTGTTTCATCTACAACAATATATCACTGTAGGGAAATATTAACTCGTTGTAAAATACATATCTACATATAAACTTCATGATTATTCTGACAACATCCGACAAGCCTACTCTCCTTTTTAATGATAATGTTCTTGATTTTGTAGATCATCACAAACATTTGGGTATAACTTTAAATAACATGAGCAAGTTTTGAGTACAATGCGTGCACTACAATTTAAACTGAAACGCTCAACTCTAAATAAAATTTACATTTCATACATATATGCGTCTAATATTAGAATATGCCGCCGTTGTGTGGGACGGATGTACTGTATACGAAAAGCAATCACTTGAACAACTACAATATGATGCAGCACGCATAGTAACAGGTCTTACCAGGTCGGTATCAATCAATTCGCTTATAAAAGAAGTTGGGTGGGTTTCCCTCTCAGATAGGCGTAAAATACAAAAATTAGTTACTGTTTTTAAAGCTAAAAATGGTCTTCTTCCACAATACCTTGAAAACATATTTCCATCGCTGGTTTCAGAAACAACAAATTACTCGTTAAGAAACAACAACAATTACATAACCATAGCTAGGCGCACCGAAACGTACAACAAATCATTTATACCTTCTGCTACTGAATTATGGAATGCATTAGACACCGAAATTCGCGAAATTAATTTATTGAATATTTTTAAATCTAGAATGAAAGAAAAGTTTAAAGCCCCCGTAGTACCTAAACACTTTTTGTTTGGTATAAGATATTTGTCAGTTTTACATGCTCGTTTAAGGAACAATTGTAGCAACTTACACGCTGACCTTTTCAAAAATCATTTGAGAGAAAGTCCGACTTGTATATGTGGGAACCTTTGTGAGGATGCCGAGCACTATCTATTTTGCTGTCCATTATTTAAACCTCAGAGACTTATACTCTTCGCAGAAACCAGAATTTTTCATCCTCTTAATGTTGAGCTATTACTGCGGGGTAGCAATTCTTTAGATGTTAATAATGAACAAATATTTGCGGCTGTCCAAAAATTTATCAAAACTACCGTTTTCGAAACAAATGATATTTTTGTAAATCGGCCTATTATATTAATCCTAATAACCTGGTACCACAAATAATTGACAATCACATTGATGATGGACGTTTACTCCCAATGACGAATAACGCTAAATGCTGGATCCTTAACCTTGTCGTTAAATTATATAAATACATAAATATACATTTTTTCTGTCTTACTTATTTCTTACATTGTTTTAAGTTAATCTGTCTTTATTTTTTTCTTTGTTAACTTTATATGTATACATGTCACACTTTCTCATAATTATATTATAAATAGAGGATATTTGTTTAGTTCAGTGTAAGATCGGAATATATTTCACCGAGTGAGCACCAAAAGGTATATTTCACGAGTGGCGCAGCCACGAGTGAAATATGAACTTTTGGTGTTCACAAGGTGAAATATATTTCGATCTTACACTAAACTAAACAAATTTTCTTTTTATTATATGCAAAGAAACGTTTTAAAAAGACATTTAACCTAATATTGAATGAAAAGCGCGCCAAATAATAATACAACGTGACGTCATTTACGGCGTCACGTCATTAAGTTGGTACCCAGTTCTGTGCACGCTGGTATTTCACTGAAACAACGTAAGGGGCTTAAATTTAAAACAGTGAAATTATCAAAGTTGTAATTTCACTGTTTCAAACAGTGAAATTACCAGTTTTATATCACTGATATATTTCTATATACCACCGAAAAGCATGTAATAAATGCCATCAATGTTGATTAATATATTTTTTTCAGGGGGAGGGCCGATCGCTAATGTTGTAAGAACTTGGGCCCAACCCTTTTGCTATTTGTTATTTCGAAATCAATTTGTTTCTCTGTATATTTACATGTATATATTAGCAATAAAATATGATTAAACCAAATAGTATGCATGCAACAAGATTAATCCTATTTCATATCAAATCATTGCGACAAGCACCTTTGATTGATTGAAATACGTAACTTTTCATGAATATTTACGCTAAAATATTGTTCGAATACACTAGATAAAACAAATCTATATTTAGATTTTTTTTTGGTTTTCCAATTTATACTAGTGTGCGTTAATAGGCTTTGACCTACAATCTTCCACATATCGTCACGGCTTTAATTGAATGTAGTTAAAGCTGTGATATCGTGACAAGTACCAATGTATTTCGATTGCAATTATTTATTTATTTTCTCACTATTTTCTCACTACAAATATAATCTAGGAAAACAGACCCAATCAGCTGATGTGAAAAATCTAATAATAGAATGTTCTTCTTTATCATCGTCAAAGAAAACAAGTTTACAATATTTTTAGAAACTTAGATATCTACTCACTTGCTAGTACTGTATCAGCCACTGTGCCGAAAACTATCAGAAAAAATGTTAAACTAGTATTCAACACATCCATTACTAGATCCAGTCTATATAACGAATTGGCTATATATTAACACTTCAGGAACAAAATATCCCAACACTTGAGTGTATACAATGGCACAGTCTAAACGCTCACAATAATTATAGAGAAAGAGCGAAACACGGACGATATAAATAGCAGATGGTTAATTTGGCGATGGTAGCTTGATAATAATTGGATATAATGGCACGTGTTTAAATTTACAATTAAAATCCGTGATAATGGAAATCTGATACATTTAGTTAATAGTGCTTTGAATGAATTAAAAAAAAGATTGAATTTTATGTCACTTTTATTACGTTTTATTATAGATACATTTATATTTTATATGATAATTCATGTTTGTTACTCCATTATCCTTCAAAAATAACTTTATTCGTATAGATATTGTAATAAAAGGTAAGAGTAGTTAGACTTTTTACGTCTTCATCTAAAACTATTCTTACTGCATACTGTATATAGGACACTAGCGGACGATAAAGAAAGTAAACGGACAAAAAAAGCATAAAGTGAAATAACACTGGCGATACAGTTGGTAAAATAATCTATTAGAAACGAAGTA